AAAGGACTCTACTGACGAGCAAACTTAAATTCAAGGTATGAAAAGAAAAAAGGACCCACCTGACGAGCAAATTCGATAAAAATTTTAAGATAAAAAGGACTCTACTGACAAACAAACTAAAATAAAAAAATATGCTAAAAGGACTCTACTGACAAGCAAACTTAAATTCAAGGTATGAAAAGAAAAAAAGAAACCCTCCTGACGAGCAAATTAGAAAGCAACTTAGAAGATTAAAAGAATGAACTTTACTGACGAGCAAATTCGAAAAAAAGTAACATAAAAAGGACTCTACTGACGAACAAACTGAAATAAAAAATATGAAAAAAGAACTCTACTGACGAGCAAATTGTTTTTTCGAAGACATGAAAAGGGACTTTACTGGCGAGCAAATTTAAAAACAACTTAGAGGATAAAAAGAGACTCTACTGACAAGCAAATTGTGTTTTAACAGATATGTACTGAATGATGACACACATACAGTGCCGAAATGTACAAAATAGAAAATTCAATTATTTTTTGTCTCTTAATTTTAGTCAAATATGTCGCTTATGATTTTTTTTAAATATTTTAAGCCAAATAGTCAAAGTGAAAGTCAATAAATAATCGCACTGTTTATTCTGTACGTTTCGACACTGAATGTGTGCTATCAATCAGCACATTTTTAAAATATCACACCGGGAAAAAACACAAAGCATAATAATAAATCACAATAAAAAACACAAAATAAAATATTTAAACAAATAATGAACTGTGTTTTTTTCTGGTGCAATATTGTTAAAATATTGCTGTATGATGACACACATACGGTATCGAAACGTACATAACAAATAATTCAATTATTTATTGTCTTTTATTTCGACTATGTAATATATATAAAGTTTTTTTTTATAACAGTCAAGTCGTCGAAATAAAAAAATAAGTTAAGAAAAATTTTTTTTTGTTGTACGTTTCGACACTTGATGTGTGCCATCATCCAGTTATCACCAAGTTAAAAGCATGAAACTTATACATATTAATAAAATGAATTTTTCTGATGGAATTTAACACAAAACCAAAATTATTAGAAAAAGAAAAAAGTTTCCATAAATATTATTATTTCCATACGTTTCGACATGTAATTCTATGACATCATCAGTGAAATATTTAAATTTATATAGTAGCATTTGAAAACCTAGACTGGGCGTTGGTTTAGAATAAAACCTAATTTAATTAAATAAAACCTAATTTAATTAAAACTCATGTTTAAATATAAATAGCAATATAAATAAATTTATTTAAATTAAATTAAACTACACTACTTTTAATACAAACCAAACCAAACCTAACCACAAACTTCAAGCAAAAACACCAAAAAAAACGTAAAACAAATTTCACACAAATTTGAAATAATATAACAAAAATTTCTAATTATTAATATAAATTTAATATTAAATATTATTATTACATTTGCACTACGTACAACTTTTTGGTATAAAAATGGGCGTTGTCTTGTACACGTAAAATTTCGTTTTAATTTAATTATTTCCACACATAAACGTTATTTTATTAGGATTATCGAAATATTACTAATTATTATTATTTATAATATATTATTATTATTATTATTCAACATACATGAGTGTTTTCTTCAATATAATGCCAAGCCGAATAGTAGTTTGTAATAAATAAACACACAACACAGGAATTACAATCAAACTGTTATATCGGTGTGGTTTACACCAATACATGGAAAAGATTGAGAATCGTTTATAATTATGTATTTATGTATGTATGTATGGATAGGTGTGTGTGGGAATAAATATAAGAAATATTTTTGATGCCAATGTATGCGTTTTGTGGCTACGTGCATCACCTGTGATGCAGGCAGGATAGTGCGACGGCCGGTGTCCAATTTACATACATCTTTATGTGTATAGTAATGTATTGAGGCAAATTGAAGCAACTTATCAAAAATATTATATGAAAAAAAAGAGTGTGCGTAAGGATCACACGTGATTGAAGTAAAACTTATTTGCTACTGTACAATATGGCATTTAAGTAAAAATAAATACATCACATAACAATTTTGAATAATGTTCATTAGTAATACGGTAACACTCGTGATGCACACATTTATTAATGCAACCATCATTATACACATTTTGTATAATGATAAATTATAACTTATATATTTATAATAGCATTAAAATGTGTATAACATTTACAAACAATAGTGGAATTAGAGTGATATTTCAAATATGACACGATCGGTTTGTCATTGTAATTAGCATTTAGGACTTGAACCTTCATTAGAGAAATGAAGTAGTTGCTGATTAACAAATTCTATAATATTCGTTCACACAGAGGATTATGTTAAACAGCGCCTAAACAAATATTGTTTTCTAATGTAATTGTGTTTGAAGAACTTCATTTAATTAAAATTAACATACATTCATTGACTGCTTGTATTTTTTTTCAACTTTTTCGCTGGCTATATAATCTCATTTTTTGAACAGCTGTAAATCTGTCTGGTCTAAAAAATATTTTCCATTTTAATAACTTTAAAGATTAAAGAAAAACTAAAAAAAACTAAAAAAGGTAAAAAAAACTCTACTGACGAGCAAAAGAAAAACAAAATAATAAACTAAAATAATATAAAAAAGAAACTCTACTGACGAACAACAAAAGGACTCTGTATCACTGATGAACAACAATAAAAATAGATTCAACAATTAAAAATGATTAAAACAATATAGATAGATTCAACAAAATGAATAGGAACAAACTTCTAGTGACATACAGATAATAAAAGAACAAAAAGAACTCGACTGACAAGCAAACTACTACTATTTATGGATCAATTATTTTTAATATAAGACAAATTGTAGCAATAAAAAGAGATAAATAATAATCGATTGCTAAAATTGACACATTATTTCAAATTGACCAACAAAATTTGCTTTTTGAAGTAAAACTTCTTTAGGCGTGACTAGGATGTAAATCTAATCGAGTGCCAATGATTCGAAAGAAAATCTTGTTTGATTTTGTTCGTCAGCAAAGTCACGATTTACACAATTTTATAATTTACAATTTGAATAGAGTTCCCTTCTCCTTTTTAATTAGCTCGTCAGTATTGTTCTATAAATCTTGTTTTAATTTGTTTGTCAGTAGAGTCCATTTTTATTCATCACTATGGTATTTGGTTAGTAACTTTCTTTTCTTTTAACTTCCCTTAGTTATAGTAATCGCAAAAAAAAATCGAAAATAAAACTTTTTTAATATCTTTACGTTTTAGAAGTTTCTGAACATTTTGGCATACCTTAATGTGTGGCCACAATTTTTTGTCGACGATTTTGTTAACACGAATCAATCGATTTTTATGATTAAAAAAAACATTCAATTCCTATTGATAAGGAGAACTCTTGACTAGGTTTTGGCAAAGACAGGTCTAGCAGTTACGCAGATACAGAGCAAAGAGTGCAGAAAACAAAAACCGAGTTTTGAGAGAACGTAGTATCCGATTTGAATGATTCAAAAACCTTGAATTTGTAATGATTGGAAGAAGAGGTTATTAGTTTTTGGCAAAGGCAGGTCCCGCCATTTCGAAGATACAGAGCTAAATGTGCAAAAAATGGCAGTTTTTGAGAGAACTAAGCGTCCGATTTGAATGCTTCAAAAATGCTTTCTGCTTGTATTGACAAAACAATTGCTTTTGAATATAAAAAATTATTACATCTTTTTTATTTTCCATAAACTATTTTTGTAATTTTGGTTTAAAAATTCAAAAAATTACCCAGGCTAAACACAGTCTAAGCGCCACTTTGATACAAATTTTTACCCAAGTGCGTTTAGACTGTTTATACACTGGAGCACTTTTCCAATTTTGTGAAAACTATTGAAAAATGTGAATATCCCGCCAAGCTAAGCACATTAGAAGTGAAATTTTCGCACAGAATTATTTGCAAATGCGTTTGCAATTATTTTGCAATTATTTGCAAATGCGACTGTGACTGTACGGGAGCACTTTTTCAATTTTGTACAATTTTGGGCAACTATTTTTTTGAAATTGAATTCGAAATTAAATGATGATTGTTGGATGTTCTGAAGATAAATTGTTTTATGATTTACATTTGATTTGCTCAGATCATAACAAGATAGCAAAAATAATGGAAGTTACAGTATTTGTAATAATATTTGAAAACTTTTAAAATTTCTCGAATATTTCATTACAGTACGGAAAGTTCCAGCAATTTGCCTTAAGGCACGATGCCATACACCACTAGTTTAATTTTATTCTAGTTCATTCATTATCAGTATTTCTTTTGTTTCCTATGAAATTAAGTTTGCAGTAAAGTTTCTCCAATTTTTTCTCAATTATTAATAAGCAACGACACCAGCTCTCACATTATCAATTCGTAAACAGTTCAGTTCTAAATTGATTTTAATTCCTAAACGAGTCAAGTCTATTTCGGTTTATATGTGCCACGTATATATGGTATGAATGATGTACTTATTTTCACACTAATTGGTTCTTCAATTGAAATAATAAATATACGCATGTATATATCGTATATATTTAAAAATCGCAAAACTCAATTAGCTATTTATAATTGGAAGACAAATAAGAAAATTTGGAATGGAAAATTTTATACACGAAAATAGATAAATAATTAAAGTATATATATATATATATATACTGTATCATAATATATATATATATATAAACATAAATATGAAAGCGATTTTGAATCTTCGCGCCAGAAAGTATTTCTGTTTTGTAACTAACTTCATGTGGACGCCATGTTTGTTTTTATTTGACATATTTGTAAATTCTTTTTTTAAACTTCGAGGAGTAAACAATCAATTGAAATAAAGAAATCCTGGCGTAAGATAAATAGGCGTTATTGTTATTATATATGTATTATATATATTTAAATTTAAATACTAATAATTTTAGTGTTGACAGTTCAAACAAAAACGCAACAGGCAACTTTGAACAGTATTGCCATATGTCACTTTGAACGGCGTTGATATATTTATTTAAACGTAATTTTCATGTAATTATTGTGCAAAATACAGTAAACAAATAAAAACATCGACAACAAAAACAAAATTACATAAAATAATCACGATTTGAAATCATACTTCTCAATATTTACTTTTCGCAAACATAACCTCAAATTCTGACAGTTAATACAAAACTCACGTACAACCTCTTGCACTGTGTTAAACAAAACAAATAAAACAAATAAAACCACAACCACAATTCGGATTCACAAATACCATGTAAACAACCTTAAACATCATTTTCATACAAATTCTGTATCATTTACCATTTATCTATTACATAACCTAACAATGTCGTCCATGACATTCGGTCAAAAGTCTTTCATTCCAACGGCGCCCCAAAAGGGCAGTTTTCCTCTAGACCACGAAGGACAATGTAAACTGTTTATGATCAAATATATGCGTTGTCTCAGAGAGAACAGAAACGATAATTCTAAATGTCGTGACGAGGCACAAAGTTATTTGGGTTGCAGAATGGACAACGAGCTGATGGCTAGGGAGGATTTTGCTAAACTTGGATTTGATAAGAAGGAAATTAATTGATAAAGAAATAGTGTAAAAGACTGTAATAGATAATAAGAAGATATTAGTAAATGTAGCTATAAACATTCTTGTGTCTGCATTGATAATATTAAAATTCATGAGATAATTGTGTTTATTATTATTAGTGTTATACTTTGTTTTTACTTTATTACAAATAAATATGGACAGTGTAATCATGAAAGACAGTATTGATAACAAGCATATTTTACTAGCTTGTACGGGAAGTGTAGCAACAATAAAACTACCTTTACTAATCGAAAGGTTGTTTCAAAAAGCCCAAGACATCAATATACATATAGAAGTGAGTACAGATGTCAAACTTGATACATCGGTATAAGTAAACCACAATCCTGTTATTTTGCAGATATCAGTTATAGTAACAGAATATGCAAAACACTTTTTTGACCAATCAGAAATACCCAAAACCGTCAAAATATACACAGATGACCACGAATGGAAGTTTTGGAACAAACGTGGTGATCCTGTATTACACATCGATTTAACAAAATGGGCAGACGTTATGTGCATTGCACCCTTGGACGCCAACACCTTGGCTAAAATATCAAACGTAACAAAAACAAACCATGACTCTATCATAACTCTAAGTCTTATATCTATCCTTTACCCTAGGGTTTATGCGACAACCTCCTAACATGCACAGTTCGAGCCTGGAACACATCCAAGCCTCTTCTGTTTTGTCCAGCAATGAATACGAGAATGTGGGATCACCCCATAACCGCTCCACAAGTAAAGACTTTAAAAGATTGGGGGTATATAGAAGTGCCTTGCATTTCTAAGACTTTGGTGTGCGGTGATACTGGTAATGGTGCTATGGCTGATGTTAATACTATTGTTGATGTTGTAATTGATGAGTTGAATAAAAAATTATGAAAGAATCACGTTTTTATCAATACTAACCTCCAAATGGTAATTATGACTAAATCACATTGGTTTAACTTCATGTCTGTTTTGTTTCTTTAGTGTTGCCATATAACATCAAACATATACTGAGACTAACTAGTATAATTATATTATGCATATTAAATAAAATAAATACAATAAATGGTTATTACAAACTAGTGGTGTACGACATCGTGCCTTAAGGCAAATTGCTGAAACTTCCCGTACCGTAATGAAATATTTGAGGAATATCAAATGTTTTCTAATAGATTATTATAAATACTGTGACATTCAATATTCGTTTTATATAGACTAAATAATAATAAAAGCTTATAAATTGGACTGAAGTACCTTATTTCATATTTTCAAGAATTATATCAACCGAATTGCAAAGTTAAAATGATTTATTCGAAGTATATAAATGAGCTATAGAATACAAATCATTTTTGATATTCACGAAAAAACAATTTTTGAAAAAAAAAAAACGGAATTTTAAAACGATTTTTATTTACTTTGTTTGAATCATTCTAATCGGATTCTCCGTTTTCTCAAAAACATTAATTTTAACACATTTTGTTCTCTATCTCTGAAACGGCTGGACCTGCCTTTGCCAAAAACTAATCATCACTTCTGCCAATCATTACAAATGGAATGGTTTTTGGTTCATTCAAATCGGATACTCGGTTCTCTCAAAAACTCGATTTCTATTTTCTGCACTCTTTGCTCAGTATCTCAGAAACGGCTGGACCTGCCTTTGCCAAAAACTAATCACCTCTTCTCCCAATCATTACAAATTGAATGTTTTTTAAATCATGCAAATCGGATATTCCGTTCTCTCAAAAACTAGATTTCTATTTTCTGCACTCTTTGCTCCCTATCTTCGAAACGGCTAGACCAGCCTTTGCCAAAAACTAATCATAACGTCTCCCCATCAATACGAATTGAATGCTTTTTTAACTATTCAAATCGGTTGATTATTACCTTTGAAACGTGAAGATATGCAAAAATTTTCCTTTTCGGTTTCGGAGTCTAAAGAAGTTTTACTTCAAAAATTTTGAAGTAATGGGGTATCATTTGAAAGGTCATTTTTAATAGAATCCAAATACTTAAGTATTCTAATATTTGTTAAATTAAAATTTATCGGTTCAAATCGGTCGATCCGTGCTCCCGAAATCGTCGATCAAAAATTGTATCCGCACCTACACACACAACAAATTTTTCTGAGGTATGCCAAAATTTTCAGAAAGCTCTGAAACGTAAAGATATGCAAAAATTATATAATATATAAATAATATAAAATTAATAAATTTAAAAGTAATAAATAAAACTTACTCTACGGGAAGTTAATATAATTTATATTATATCCATATCGATTTCAAAGTCTAAAGAAGTTTTACTTCAAAAATGGTATATTATATCTTTTATGGCATGTGGGGTATCATTTGAAAGGTCATTTTTAATAGAATCCGAATACTTAAATAAGTTTTCGAATTTCTGATCACAAAAGTAGTACTTTTGTTAAATTAAAATTTTTCAGTCATAAAATTCTCCTTCGAAAAGTTAATAAATTTAAAAGTAATAAATAAAACTTACTCTACGGGAAGTTAATAATTAATTTAAAAAATGTACTTACATTAATAAACTATAATTTTCTATACACATTTTCCTTAATCCTTCGGTCCTTGATAGACAGTTTGCAAAAGCGTGAAATAAGACCAAGATGTACTCATGACCTGCAAGAAATAATATAAAAAAAATGTAATAATAAATAATATAACTCAAGTTAATATTTAGTTACCTTTCCAAAACTTGTTAAAGAAACCACTGAGAACCTCAAAGCAGTCAACTTTTGTGGCTTTTGTGCTCGAGCCATCAAAATTTGTGCAGATCTCTTGAATTTGCGATCACAATTATTCCAATCGCTCTCGTAAATGGATTTCGACAAAGATTCACTCTTAATAAAAAAAAACAATATTTCTAGTACCTTTAATTGATCTTATGCTTGTTTCTTGTTAGTGAATATGTAAAAGTGTCTAGCCATTTGCGCTGCGATCAGGCGTATTTTACATATAAACAAGCAAGGGTGAATGTTATGATAACAGAATTCTAGATGATGCAGTCTTTATAAAATTCATCCTTGCTTGTTTATATGTAAAATGCGTCTGATCGCGCAGCAAATAGATAAAAAATTTCACAGTTTCACTAACAAGAAACAAGCATAAAATAATGCTATTTTATGAGGCAGAATTGCCCCTCAGTCTATTATCCTGTTACCTTTTCTATTAGTTGATGTCCAGCATCACAAAGTTGATAAATCTGCACCACCATAGATATTAAAAATATCAAAAACATAAATAAAGCGACTCCTGTTACTGCAGTTGTTTGAAAGCCGACCAGACAAATCAGGACAGAACTTCCTGAAAAGTTCATGAAAATCGAGAAGCTGAAGATTTTCTCTAACTCTTCACTAATCCTGCAAAAAAAGAAATATTGTAATTGGATGAAATATAATTAATTATGTCGCTATATAACGTTGTGCTTTTGTAAATCACCAAAATCTGGTAGGAGGCTTTTGACCCGCCATTTTGAGCTTCATAATGTAAAAAACAGTTGATGGTGATACATGGCTTACAGAGCACCGACGTTTTTTGTTTAAAGTTATATAAATAGCAGAAAACGTCAACAAATTTTCCAATTTTAATCTCAAACTAGTGGGGTGGGTGGCATCGTGCCTTAAGGCAAATTGCTGGAACTTCCAGTACCGTAAGGAAATGTTCGAGGAATACTGAATGTTTTCAAATAGATTATTATAAATATTGTAACATTGTCTAATATTTATAAGAATTATATAAACTGAATTGCAAAGTTGAAATTATTTGTTTAAAGTATATTAGAACTATAGTCAGAATTAAAAATAAAATCTGAATTATTTTCGATATACAAAAAATTTAAAAAAAAAAAAAAAATTGAGACAATTTTTTTTCCAAAATCAATTATTTTGTTAAGACAAGCAGAAAGTTCTTTGAATCATTCAAATCGGACGCTTAGTTCTCTGAAAAACTGTCATTTTTTACATATTTAGCTCCGTATCTTCGAAATGGCTGGGCCTGCCTTTGCCAAAAACTAAAAAACACTTCTCCCAATCATTACTAATTGAATCTTTTTTAGATCATTCAAATCGGATACTCCGTTCTCTCAAAAAGTCGATTTCTATTTTTTGCACTCTTTGCTCCGTATCCCCGAAACGGCTGGACCTGCTTTTGCCAAAAACTAATCAGCTCTTTACCCTATCGATAGGAATCGAATGTTTTTTGAACCATTCAAATCGGTTGATTCGCGCGCCCGAAAACGTGACTGGAAATTTGTATCCATACATACATACACACACATCCATTTTTTCTGAGGTGTGCCAAAACGTTCAGAAACCTTCAAAACGTCGAGAAATGTAAAAATTTTCAATTCCGATTTTCGGCCCATTACAATAACTTACCCTACGGGAAGTTAACAAGTTCTATTTTCTATAATTATTTACCTATTGTATGAGAGAAACAAAGGACTAACTTCAGACTCATTCTTAACCGACGCCATTTGGTTTTGAAGTGAACTTGGCAATAGATCCGACAAAATGGAGGAAAAAATTCCTTTACTTACCCGATTAATACTTTATGTCGTTGTATACAATCGACCAACTCCTTGTGCATCAAAACATTTCTAGATTTATTATTAATTTGATTTAAAGCATCCCTATTCGATGCTCCGTCTTGGAAACCGATTCGGGCAACCCTTTGGGCTAACAAATCAAAATGCATACAGAGATGTCCTGTGAGGAATGAGAATAGTAAATCGGCTCCTAGAAGGGCATTCATAGCAACGTAACTAAAATAAAGAAATTGATGTTAATGTAATAAATACTTCAGTTTTTTTATGTCTTTTATCCCTTACCCCGATGCGACGTGGTACAAATACATAAAAGGATAAATATCAGGCCGAAAAGAGTCGAATGGCGTCCACACTAAATACGGCAGTAGAAGTATCACTTCATTTTTTGCAAAATAGTAATAAGCAGTGGTGCACAAAGCGCATACATTGAAGATCCAGATCAAAAACTGCATCAATGTCGTGAACATCACGGATTTGCGAATCATACTTTTTATGGTTTTGGTTATTATCGAATTGAATCTGGAAAAGAAATAGTAAAATACGCCTGATCGTACAGCAAATAATTTTCACACGCTGTTATCGTTCATATCTTATATATAAAAATGGAGCTCTCGATCAAATGATTCCCTAAAACTCGAAAACGGCTGAACCGATTTGGCCAGTCTTAGTCTTGAAAAATTCGTGCTAATCAGTAAGTTGTCGGAAAGGTGAGATATTATTTCAAAATCGTGTAAAAACTTTACATTTTTAATTTGAACATTTTTGTAGAAGCGTAATTTGAATAAAACAATGGACGGTGGCTAATACGATAATAATTATCTATTGATAAATTATTATCTATTACTACCTCTCATCGGCATTATTGTACATCTGTTCCAACTTGGAAATGATATCACCGACTTTTTGCTTCTGCAGTTGCACCGTGGCCACTTTAATAACCCCCAAAATGCAAAAACCGACACATGGGGCTACTTCGGTCAATTTCAAAAAGTTCGTGTAATTGTTTAGGCCCTTCAGGAAATAAATCAACTCACCCAAGATGCACATGTAGATGACAACCATACATAAAACGTAACTGAAAATAGATAAATAATAAAATATAGAAAAAAACTAGTGGTGTATAGCATCGTGTCTGAAGGCAAATTGCTGGAACTTCTTGTATTGTAATAAAATATTCGAGAAATATTAAACGTTTTCATTATTATGAATACTGTAACTTTCATTATTTTTGCTATCTTGTTATATCTGAGCAAATCAAATGTAAATCATAAATCAATTTATCTCCGGAACATTAAATTCGATTTTTTGTTTGAAATCAAATTTAGATCTGAATTTTCAAGAGAGAACTTTTATCAGTACTGCTTGATATAAAGCTGACTTTAGCAGATTGCCTTTAATAAATTTATTTTATTTTAATAAATCTAATTAGCATCCCGAAAAAGCTATTTTTATTTAAAATCATATTGAGATCTAAATTTTTCATTTATCATTACTGCTTGATATCAAACTATGCAAGAATCTATAAACTCTATTAAAAATCTGTTATACTGCTCAATAACAATAAGGTGTGCAAGCATGTATAATATCAAGTGAAAATCTGATCGCTTGATACCGAATCTTTGATATCAAGTAAAAATATAGTATCATACTGTTCGATACCAAGCTGTCCAAGAATCTATGACTTCAAGTAAGATTCTAGTGTCATACTGCTCGATATTAAACTATGCAAGAATCTGTGAACTCAATTAATACTGCTCAATAACAAGTTGTGCAAGCATATATATCAAGTGAAAATTTGGTATTATACTGCTCGATACCAAGATGTCCAAGAATCTTTGATATCAAGTAAAAATCTGGTAACATACTGCTTGATACCAAATTGCTAAAAAAATTAAGATCTCAAACGAGAATTTGGTATCAAGCTGCTTGATATCAAACTGTCCAAGAGAGAAATTGATGGCATACTGCTCGATGCCGAGCTGTCCAAAAACTTTTGATATCAAGTGATTTTTGGTACCAAGCTATTCAAGAAATTATGATTTTAAGTGACAAATTAGTTGGGTATCAAGCAGTATGATCTCAAGTGAAACTCTGCTATCGTGCCGCTTGATACCAAGCATTCCGTTAGATGTTTTTCAATACTTACATAAATTTCAAAAAATAATTAACACCGAAACGTCTTTTGGTTTGTCGAACACTCAAACCGATGGTTAAGAAAATTCCGTTGCACAATGCAAAAGATTTTGCGAAGGATGGAACTTTCTCGATTTTGGAGTCCATTTTATCAGAATCACCTTAAAATAATAAAAAATATAATAAAAATATTTTTGAATAATAATAAATAAATTAATCAAAGTAGATTCTACTCTATTGCCTGAAAGAAATTGTATCGTCCCATATTATTCCGAGCAAGAAAGAATCTTACGATAACTGCACCATCGAATATTCTGTTATCATAACTTTCTTCTTTGCTTGTTTATATGTAAAATGCGCCTGATCGCACGGCAAATAGATAGACATTTTCACTACTTATAAACAAGCATAAGATTTTAACGCTATGTTATGAGCTCTGTTACGGCAGAATTGTCCCTTTAATTAAATATTACTATATATTATTTTGTTTATTATAATTATTTAGTATGATGGATCTGCCTTTTACAATGAATAACATAATATATGTAAAAATATATTAAGTACTTACCGCCGCGATTTTATTTAAATTACTGTTTGATTTTTTTCGGTAACTTTACTAATATAATAAAATTAACATATTATAAATATCTTATAAAGGACACATTAAAACAAGGGCCGGTGGTAAAAATATTTGACAAAGTCCAAACTAAATAAATGTATAAACTGAAACACGTGCAGTTTTTTTGCCACCGGCTCTCCGTCTACGCCATAATTTATTATAATGATGTTATGAATTTAGGTGCTTTACATAATTTATGTGTGTACTTAAAACAAATCAAATTTTTCTCAAATTACACGTCTTGACCGTTTTACGTACACCTGCGAGAAAAATGGAGAACTTTTCTATATAATCATCAAGTTATTTCGGACTTGATAGAGATTGAATAAAAAATGAGAACAAAATCGGTTACATGATGTGACAACATGGTTAATAATAAATGTCGATTATTATTTGTTAAAGTATAGTGTAATCAAGTGTAAGTAAAGACAGAAGTGTAATCAAGAGTAGGAATTCCAGAATTCTAGATCCTCCCCCCACGAAGTAATACCTAACGGCGGTTCTTGTGAGACTAAAAGGTAATATATAATAAAACACGAATATTGAAATTTGAATTTCTTTAAAAGAAAATATTATAAAGTCCGGATACGTTTCGGCGATAGTCGTGAGTCATCCTTCAGTAGAACTAAATTGAATTTAACTAAATAATGTGACAAGTAAATATGAAAATTACGAATAAAAATTTAGTACTTACAGTCAGATCCTCATTTTAAAAACCGCAAAAACAATATTCCAACTTGTTCAGGAAACATCTAAGTCGTGTAGTTTTGTTTTCTTTGTGTGCCCACTTTTTAGTGCACTACTTTATGATGATGTAGAAGCTGCATTAAGTAAAAGAATTAAGGGGGTAATTCTGCCTCATAAAATGGTATTGCCATGGCAACGCCGTTAGTGAAACTTTAAAAATGTCTATGTATTTGCCATGCGATCAGGCGTATTTTACATATAAACAAGCAAAAAATGTTATGATAACAGGATTCTAGATGATGCAGTTATCACAACATTCTTTCTTGCTGTGTTTATTATGTAAAATACGCCTGATCGCACAGCAAATGAATAGACATTGTCACATATTCACTAACAAGAAACAAGCATAAGATAGAGCTATTTTATGCCCGATAAATCAGATTCAATAGTAAACACATTTGCAAGAGATATCTATCTGTTTACCTGTCAACCCATGTGCTTGTCTACCTGTCTACTAATAATTTTATTAATATATATAAATCTATAATATACAAAGATTTGTAATGAATTTGCAATAATTTTGCTCCGAAATACGTCTCCAAAATGTTTTTTGAATCACTCTAATCGGGGGTACCGTTTTCTCAAATTGAATTTGCTGTTTTTTGCACTTTTTGCATCGTACCTGCCTTTAACAATAACTAATTAGCACTTCACACGAATCGATTTTTTCTTGAATCATCCTAATCGGTTGTTCTGTTTACTTAAATATAATTGCCTTTTTTCACTTTTTGCACCGTACCTCCGAAATGGCAGGACCTGCCTTTAAAAGAAAACTGATCAGCACATCACGCCGTCAATACGAAAGGAATGTTTACTGAATCATTCAAATCGGTTGAGCAGTGGTCACTAAAACAATGGCGAACAATTGTAACGAATTGAATTGCTATTTTTTGCACCTTTTGTTCCCGTATATCTAAAACAGCTCGACCTGTCTTTCACAAAAACTAATCAATACGTCTACCTAACAATATAAATCGAATGTTGTTTGAATCATTCAAATCGGTTGAGCAACGCTCCCGAAAACGTAGACAAAAAATTGTATCGAATCGAATTGCTATTTTTTGCACTTTTTGCACCGTATCTCCGAAACGGGTAAACCTGCCTTTCACAAAAACTAACCAGCACATCTCCCTATCAATACGAATCGAATGTTTATTGAATCATTCAAATCGGTTAAGCAGCGTTTTCGAAAACGTCGGCTAAAAATTGTATCCAATCGAATTGCTATTTTTTGCACTTTTTGCTGCGTACCTCTAAACCAAGTAGACCTGCCTTTTACAAAAACTAATCAACACGTCTCCTTATCAATATAAATCGAATGTTTATTGAATCATTCTAATCGGTTAAGCAGCGTTTTCGAAAACGTCGGCTAAAAATTGTATCGAATCGAATTGTTATTTTTTGCACTTTTTGCACCGTACCTCTAAACAGCTAGACCTGCTTTTTACAAAAACTAAACAACACATCTCCCTATCAATACGAATCGAATGCTTTTTGAATCATTCAGATCCGTTGATCCGTGCGCCACAAAACGTCGACGGAAAAATGTATCAAATTGAATTGTCATTTTTGCACCGTACCTCCGAAACGGCTAGACCTGCCTTTTACAAAAACTAATCAACACGTCTACCTAACAATATAAATCGAATGTTGTTTGAATCATTCAAATCGGTTGAGCAACGCTCCCGAAAACGTAGGCAAAAATTGTATCGAATCGAATTGCTATTTTTTGCACTTTTTGCACCGTATCTCCGAAACGAGTAAACCTGCCTTTCACAAAAACTAACCAGCACATCTCCCTATCAATACGAATCGAATGTTTATTGAATCATTCAAATCGGTTAAGCAGCGTTTTCGAAAACGTCGGCTAAAAATTGTATCGAATCGAATTGCTATTTTTAGCACTTTTTCCTCCGTATCTCCAAAACGACTGGACCTGCCTTTCACTAAAACTAATCAATCATCTCAATAGGAATCGAATGTTATGAATCATTCAAATCAATTGAGTAGTCACAATTTTCTTTTAACAAAGAAAACGAGTCTAACATAAAACTATTTTTATTATAAATACATTTCTATCGGGTTAAAATACAAGAATATCCAATTCTTATAATAATAAATACATATATAATTATATAATCATAGCAAAAATTATGTAAAATCGTACACAAAAATATAATATATACTCCTGGCCTAGTCACCCTAAGCTAACCAAAAAAAAAGGGTAAAATCATCATAATCAACAACAGTATATAAAAGACGAATCAAACGAGACAGTTCACACGTAAAAAAATATTTCACTCGTTTTTGTTTTTGATCAATTTTGTTTGGCAAATTACAACCAGCGCAGTTTTGATATTTCATAATTGAGATAAAGTAAATTTAATCGTTTGGCTCGATAATAATAATGGTCTGATGGGTTGGGGGGGACTTTAGTTTAGTCTCTAACACTATCAGGATCATCACATTATCAGCGCTCTTCGATGATTACAGTTTCTTGAGGATACAGTTTCAGTTCTTGAAGTGTCGATACTGGGTCGATTGTTGTTAACTGAAATATAAACGATACAAATAATAATGCATAAGTAACTCTAGTTAGAATTAGAATTAATATCTAGTATATCACAAGATTCTTCCTTGCTTGTTTATATGTAAAATACGCAAATAGTTAGACATTTTCACAGTACCAAGCATAAGATAGCGTTGCTATGACAACGCTATTTTATGAGGCAGAATTGCCTAGTAAGTTTAGTTTCCAGTCGGTCCGAAGTATTATTAAACTAGTTGGTTTGGTATTTAGCCTTGAGGCAAGTTACATGAACTTCCCGATATGTGTAATTAATCGACTTAATTAATAAAAAATAATTTAATTTATGAGTGATTACAAGTATTCCAAGTGGATTTGTTACACATGATTGAAAACGAACGAACACTTTGACTCGGAGTATTTTCTAATAGCAAATTTTCAAAAATCACCAGTTTTTATAATTGAACCAGTTTCCATAGGACTTTAATGGTTTACTATGTTCATTAAGATCAAGTACTAAGTAAATCGTCTAATTTTAATTTTAACAAACGTCAAAAAAACTACTCATTTTCTTAATCTTTGATTAATTTTTAAAATGAAACTACTTGTCGTAAGGCCGTAATATTTCAGTAAGTTCTATAAGACCATGATATATATCGTCAAAAAAAAGTTCCATAAAAATCGGCTTCAATTTTTTTTTCAACAGTTAATTACAAGAAAACGGCTCGGTAGATTTTCACCTAAAACTAATCAGTATCATTTCCAACCAATACCTTTCGAACAGTTTTTGATTTTTTCAAATCGATTCGGTAGTTTGAGATTAAATGTGGACGAAAAGTTTAACACTTTTTTTCAAATTACAAAGACGCGGCTCGGCAGATCGTCTCACGAAACTGACAAATTATAGTCCTCATTGAGATACATCAAACAGCTTTTAAATTTATGAAATCGGTTCAGGCGTTTTTGAGAAAACGTCGATCGAAGGTTTAATTTTGTCAAATGTCAAATAAACGATACTAATTTTTGCAAACTTTGACGATTTTTCAAAGTTAAACCAATTGTCGAAGGGCCGTAATATTTTAGTATGATCTACATTCTACAAGACTCATCAACAAAAATCATGAAAATCGTCGATTTTTTTTTTTGAAACATTATTACAAGAAAACGGCCCGGCCGATCTTCACTAAAAACTAATCAGCACGATTCCCAATCAAACGTCGATTTACGGCAAAAAATTTGTTCACACACACACACACATACACGCACGCAGACACACACACGCACATACTTCTTCCAAATGTTGGTCTCATTCGATTCTGAATGGCTTAAAACGTCGAGAAAACATAAAATTAGCGAGTCGGATTTTTTGATGAAAACATAAACTTCTCCTTCGGGATGTTAATTATTTATTAAATTATGCATGACTTATTGAACTTATTATCACTTACATCTTTCCTTGGCCAGCTCGAAATAAATTTATAATCCTCGCTTGGGTATCCAAGAACTATCATGTAATCCAATAATACCTGAAAAAGAAACATACAAAATTATAAACAACGTATTCAATGAGTTAGTTCGAATCGTCCCATTTAAGTTACTTTTAATTCTGTCGTGATTAGAAAACGCCTCTCGGCAAAGCTACCGGTTGGCAGTCGTATCCTTATTTTTGTAATACCTGAAAATAAAGAAAAATTATATTAGTTTATATTTTTAATTGGCAGATTAAATATATATATATATATATATATATATATATATATATATACTAGCTGCAAATGTGGTTTTGCCATAAAAAATATTTCTAGTATAAAATATTTAGTATGAAAATAACCAACTGATTGCAAATGTGGTGCATAAGCGAAAAGGGCAGTTAACAAAAACTATAAGAATAGTTTACCCATTGCAAAGCGCGCCACATATAAATGTCTCTCAATAATAGTCTTTGCAAGAGCCAAGCTAATCTGAAACTGGTTCTATATACATTGAATTTGCACATTTAATGTTTCAAGATTTTGATATATTACTACCGTGCGTTTGCATTAATACAGTAATTTTTGAATTGCGAATAAAAATCCGATTATTCATTTTCAAATTTTGAGATGCAAAGTTGGCCCATTCTATAATAACTGAGTTAATAAAGTGCAAAAGGTTACAAGAATAAAATTCTGTTAACCAGATTCTGGTAAGAGTTTTATACGATTATGTTATATCTAATATCTGTAGGATTCCAATCAGATTTTGTTGAAAATTGTGAAAAAAATCTGTTGAAGGTATAAGAAACTAGTTGGTTTGGTATCTTGCCTTGAGGCAAGTTACATGAACTTCCCGATATGTTTAAATAATTGACTTTCAATAAAAACTAAATTAAATTATGAGTGATTAAAAGTATTCCCAGTGAATTTAAAAACATAATTGAAAACGAACGAACACTTTGACAAGGAGTATTTTTTAAAAGTAAATTTTTAGAAATCAACAATTATTATAATTGGACCAGTTTCCATAGGACTTTAATAGCTTGATATGTTCATTAAAACCAAGTACTCTATCGTTATACCAAGTAAAATCGTCCAATTTTAATTTTCGTCAAAAAACGTCAAAAAAACTACTCATTTTCTTAATCTTGGACGAATTTTTAAAATTAAACTTGTACGGCCATAATATTTCAGTAAGTTCTATAAGACCATGATATATATATATATCGCCAAAAAAAGTTTTATAAAAATTGCCTCAATTTTTTTTTTCAACAACGAATTACAAGAAAATGGCTCGGTAGATTTTCACCTAAAACTAATCAGTACCATTCCCAACTAATATCTTTCGAACAGTTTTTGATTTTTTAAAATCGGTTCGGTAGAATGAGCTTAAATGTGGACGAAAGGTTCAACACTTTTTTTCAAATTACAAAGAAACGACTCGGCAGATCGCCAACAAAACTATAGTGCTCATTGAGATACAAAGAATGGCTTTTAAATTTCTGAAATCGGTTCAGGCGTTTTTGAGCAAACGTCGATGAAAGGTAATTTTGACAAATGCCAATGAAACGATACCAATTTTTGCAAACTTTGACGAATTTTCAAAGTTAAACCCATTGTCGTAGGGCCGTAAAATTTTAGTATGATCTAGAAGACTATGGTATCTACCGTCAAATAAAAAATCATAAAAATCGTAGAAATTTTTGTTTTTAAACTTTATTACAAGAAAACGGCCCGGCCGATCTGTACCAAAAACTAATCAGCACGGTTCCCAACCAATATCTATCGAACGGTTTTTGAATTTTCAGAATCGATTCAGAATTGCGGGCTAAAACGTGGACGATTTTTTTTTACTTTATTGCTATTTATAATGAACGGCCGATCGTCCCACAAAGTTGACAAACGCTAGTCCTCGTCGAGATACATCGAATGCCTTTTAAATTTTTGAAATCGGTCCAGCCGTTTTTGAGAAAACGTCGATTTACGGCAGAAAATCTGTTCACACATACGTACACACACACTTTTGCCAAATTTGGTCTCATTCGATTCAGAATGGCTTGAAACGTCGAGAAAACATAAAATTAGCGAATCAGATTTTTTTATGAAACCATAAACTTCTACTTCGGGAAGTTAATAATTAATGTAACGACCGGACCAAGTTGGCTTTTGATACCAGTTTGTATAAATTTTGTTATTATTAAATCTAATAATTTTAATATCTAAAAAGCTAAAAGAATTGTCAATCTCTTGTTCACAAGTGTACTGCAAATGTTTACTGAAAGAGTTAAAACAATCCAATGTATGGTTCATATAGTTATTATCTAAACATAAAAGACTTGTGGCTAAAAAACGTTATCACAATATATACGAGGTCTGTTCAAAAAGTACCCGGAATTTTCGTTTTTTCAAAAAAATATTTATTTATTCGTCTACATTAATGTGGTCCCCTTCAAAGTAGTCCCCCCCAGATATAATACACTTATGCCAGCGTTTTTTCCAATTTTCGAAGCACCCTTGATATTCACTTTTTGATATGTCCTTGAGCACTCTCGGCGATTTTCTTCAACCGAGGAAAACCGCCGTCCTTTCATGGGTCTCTTCAACTGTGGGAATAGGAAAAAGTCACACGGAGCCATATCTGGTGAATTTTTGCACTTTGCAACACTTTATTTCATTTTTTACGCAAAATTTAATACAAATTCTTTGACTTTTCAATTCTTCCATTGTAAAAATCGCCGAGCTCAGAAAAACACGTCGAACCTTAGCGACTACCACAGACAAAGTAAACAGTGAATATAGCTGAAAATTTCATCATACTTTAGGGGCATGTATACCAACACAATAAAAAAAAAATTTTGACAATCAGACACTCCAGACCCGCGAAATGTAATTATTAGTAATTCCGGGTACTTTTTGAACAGACCATGTATATATATATATATATATATATATATATATATATATACAGTGGCGGATTAAGCTCTCTGCCGCCCTAGGCCCTTTACGTTCAGGCGCCCTTTTTAATAGACAAAATTTTACTTTTTTAATTAAACATTTTTTAAAAAATTATTCAGATATAATTTTTAACTTTGCGTAGAATAAGTTATATTAATCGCAAATAAATCGAAAATGATATTTTTTTCTTATCTTCACGTTTAAAGGCATTCTGAACATTTTGGTTTACCTCAAAATGTGTATGTGTGTATGTATGTTCAATTCCCATTGATTCTGATTAGTTTTTCGCTAGGGCTGGTTCAGCCGTTTCGAAGATATGAAGCAAAAAATACAAATAGAAATCAGAACTTTACGCCCTGAATATTTTCCTTATATCGTATTTATGTAGATGGTAACCCGACTGCTGATTCTTTCATATTTGATTACTTCATTATTAGAAATTATCTACTAGGGCTGACTTATTATTAACTTCCCGATGGAGCACTTTGAAAATTTAAAGTTTTTTTGAGATGTTAACAAAATTTGTACTTATCATTAATATTCTTATAAAGTATCTGATATTTGATGTGCATGTGTCCAATATCATTTTTCCAAACGTTATTTTTATAACTTGTTTTTGAATCTTCATAACCGCTATACCTGACTTTCCAAAACCTGGTTAATTGTTCATTTCATCAATATGAGTAAAATGTTTTTTGAATCATTCAAATCGGACTCTCAGTTCTCTCAAAAACCAAATTTCCATTTTTTGGCACTTTTTGTCCCGTATATTCGAAATGGCTGAACCTGCCTTTGCCAAAAACTAATCAGCACGCCTCCTTATCAGTAGGATCGGTTGATCCGTGCTCTCGAAACGGTTTACGAAAATTAGTATTCGTCCTAATTACATACATTCATATAATATTTCTTACATAAAAACGCACGGACCCACAAACATCTATTTTTTCTAAGCCACAAATGTTTAGGAACCTTTGAAACGTAAAGATATGCAAAGAAATTTTCCATTTTTTTGCGACTACTATTACTACTACTACCCTGCGAGAAGTTAAAAATGAAAACAAATTTGTACTGATTATTAAATTTTTTGTAAAAAATCTGATAATTTGATGTGCAAATGTCCATTGATCATTTTGACCACTAAATGGCACTTTTTAGGATCACCAAAACGCACTCTCACTTTACCATCGCAAAAATTTACTTAATGTACTTATTTAGTTTTGAATTTCCCAATCGGATAGAGAATGGGGCTCTCTAAAAGAATGAGAGCTATTTTTTATCATTTTATTTATTCCGAAATGAATAAACCTGCCATTACCAAAAACTAATCAGCACATCTTCCCGACAATTGAATCATTCAATCAATTGATTCGTCTCAAAAGCGTCGACAAAAAAATGTAACCGCAAATACACATCCATACATCCATTTTTCCTAAGGTATGCCAAAAAGTTAAGAAAGTTTTGAAACGTAAATATTTATAAACAATTGCATTTACGTTTCCTTTTTAAAATTACTATAACTTACCCGTGAAGGGAATGCCAATGTATTGTAGTTGCCAATGCCAAGATATTTTAGTTTAGGTTTAGTTTCATCTTACAGAATACATTTAGAAGAAAAAAATATATACGAACTAAGACATAATTAAATCAACACAAAATAACAGTAATATATTATATTAATTCCCAAAATAAAATAAGAAACCATTTAAAACCATTTGAAAACATTTTGTATGTAAGATTTTCCTTAATAAAGTTACAAAAAATGAACAGAGCTTCAATATTTTTTCAAAAAAAGCTTATCAATTTGATAATTTTTATTTTGAACATGATACATCAATAAAAGTATTAATGAGGCGCCCTCGAATAAGTTTGATTAGAAAACGAATAGCATTCTATGTCATAGAAAATTATCTAGATCAGGATCAATTCTTAAAATAAATTGCCGTGACAATTTTTCGGATTTAAAATTTTGACATTCTGAAAAACTTGCCGCCCCCCAATTGTGCCGCCCTAGGCCCGGGCCTCACCGGCCTATGGGTTAATCCAGCACTGT